ATCACATTATCTAGTCCCTGCAACAATGAAGTAGGTACTGTAATTCCCATGTGAAATGAGGAAACTGGAGGCCCAGAGTTCAACAGTAAAGAGCAAAGCAGGAATGTGACTCCAGGCACCAAAGAACAAGTTAGTGAAAGGGGTTCCACAAGGAACCAAAAGCATGTAACTGCAGTACACATTTTCCGATGTTTGGCTTCATCCAGGAATTAAAATTTAGAGTATTTCCAGGAATGAACTATATGTTTTTCAGGTAGTTCCCAATAAGTGTTTTCAAAATTGAAGTTTCTGATAAAAGCAGAATGACATGCAGTTCAAGGTCATATTCCTCATCCTGTGAAACCTCACTTAGCTACCAAGATATAACTGATTTTAGGATGATAGAGCCTGAATAAAGAGGCCACACTTTACAAAGGAAAATAAAAAGCCCCTCCCACTTACTTGGATACCCAGTTTATTACATCTCTGTACTCCTAAAATGAGATCCATGGAGAGCTAAGAATCAAAGCCATTCCTAGAATACAATGTAAATGGTGCCCCCGAGTTGTGTAACAGGGCGCTCTGGAGCCTGATTACTCAGATACCTGCTTACTGTCTGTTTTACCACTTACTCTATCTTTTGTGGAGGAAATTTCTCCAAACCATCCCAACAACCAAGTAGGCACATATCAACATTCTTATAACCCAAAGAAGCCCACTGATATTACACAAAAAACTCATGTCTACACAGAGTGTGCCAGTTTTAATGATTACGGCAATATATTTAAAGAAAGCACTTTGGGAGGCCAAGATAGGAGGATCACTTGAGCCCAGGAATTTGAGAACAGTTGGGGCAAAATAGGGAGACCCTGTCTCTACAAAAAATTAAAACATCTCTACAATTTTTTTTTTCTCTCGAGACAAAGTCTCGCTCTATTGCCAGGCTGGAGTGCAATGGCGTAATCTTGGCTCACTGCAACCTCCACCTCCCAGGTTCAAGCAATTCTGCTGCCCCAGCCTCCTGAGTAGCTGAGACTACAGGTGTGTGCCACCATGCCCAGCTAATTTTTGTGTTTTTAGTAGAAACAGGTTTTACCACTTTGGCTAGGATGGTCTTGATCTATTAACCTCGTGATTCACCTGCCTTGGCCTCCCAAAGTGCTGGGATTACAGGTGTGTGCCACGGAGCCCGGCTACAAACAATTTTTAAGATATTTATTTATTTTTGATACGGAGTCTCATTCTGTTGCCCAGAGTGGAGTGCAGTGGAACAGTCTCAGCTCACTGCAACCTCCGCCTCCCAGGTTCAAGCGATTCTCCTGCCTCAGCCTCCCAAGTAGCTGGGATTACAGGCACGCGCCATCACGCCTGGCTAATTTTTGTACTTTCAGTAGACACAGGGTTTTACCGTATTCATCAGGCTGGTCTCCAACTCCTGACTTCAGCTCATCTGCCCGCCTCGGCCTCCCAGAGTGCTGGGATTACAGGCGTGAGCCACTGCGCCCAGCCTACAAAAAGTTTAAAAAGTAGCCGGGCACACTGGCTCACAGCTGTAGTCCCAGCTACTTGGGAGGCTCAGGTGGGAGGACCGCTTGAACCTGGGAGCCAGAGGTTGCGGTGAGTGGAGATCACGCCATTTCACTCCAGCCTGGGCAACAAGAGCGAAACTCCATCTCAAGAAAAAAAATAAAATAAGAAGGGAGGTTTACTGCTGGGTGAGGTGGCTCACACCTATAATATATCACTTTGGGAGGCCAAGGCATGTAGTAGATTGCCTGAGCTTAGGAGTTCGAGACTGGCCTGGGCAACATGGGGAAACCTGTCTCTACTAAAATACAAAATATTAGGTGGGTGTGGTGGCACGTGCCTGTAATCCCAGCTACTCAGGAGGCTGAGACAAGAGAATCACCGGGAGGGGGAGGTTACAGTGAGCCAAGGTCGTGCCATTGCACTACATACAGCCTGGGAAACAGAGCAAGCCTCAGTCTCAAGAAAAAAAAAAGCGGGGGGAGGTTTACTATAATTAAGTCGGAGGATAATTTTCTCTCAAGAGACTCAAGGAACTACATGTTCCTTCTCCAATCTCAAAAGAAATCTGAGAAGCACACAGGAGGTAAAGAAGAGAAACACTAAGCCGGGCGTGGTGGCTCACGCCTATAATCCCAGCACTTTGGGAGGCTGAGGCAGGCAGATCACCTGAGGTCAGGAGTTCGAGACCAGCCTCACCAACATGGAGAAACCCTGTCTCTACTAAAAATACAAAATTAGCTGGGCATGGTGGTGCATGCCTGTAATCTCAGCTACTCGGGAGGCTGAGGCAGGAGAATTGCTTGAACCCGGGAGGCCGAGGTTGCAGTCACCCGAGATCGTGCCATTGCAGTCCAGCCTGGGCAACAAGAGTGAAACTCCGTCTCAAAATAAATAAATAAGTTTAAATAAATAAATAAATGAGAGAGATACTATCAAGTATTAATAATAGTCATGAAACACAGTAGGACTTGAACTCTTAGACCAGAGCTTTGCCTATCTGACCACATCCTTCCATAATGCTACCAACCATCCAGGGATAAAGGTGTCATGGCCTCCAGCAGGTATTTTTGGCAGATATGGTGAAGATCACCATTTCTTTCCCAAAACCCACTAATTGATTTTTACTGTTGTTTTTTCAAATAAAGCATGACTTTCTTTTCCCAAGAAAATAACATTCCCTCAACACAACCAATCCTTAGAAATCCATGAAATATACCGATCAAGTTCAGTTGCCAGACAGAGAATGGCCTTAGGAATCAACACTTGTGAATTCTCTTTTTTTTTTTTTTTTTTGAGACAGAGTCTCACTCTGTTGCCCAGACTATAGTGCAGTGGTATGATCTCAGCTCACTGCAACCTCCACCTCCTGGGTTCAAGCTATTCTCCTGCCTCAGCCTCCTGAGTAGCTGGGATTACAGGCGCTTGCCAACATACCTGGCTAATTTTTGTATTTCTAGTAGAGATGGGGTTTCACCATGTTGGCCAGGCTGGTCTTGAACTCCTGACCTCAGGTGATCCCCTACCCTCAGGTGATCTGGCCTCCCAAAGTGCTGGATTACAGGCGTGAGCCACTGCACCTGGCCAAGATTTGTGAATTCTAATTCTAGGTCGTACATCAGTGGATGACTCTTAACTAAGTGGATGAATTAACTATTTTACTAGGTTTCTATTAGGATGGAGGATGGAAGAGGATGAGCCTTTTGCAAATACGTTTGTAAGGCATATGGCGATGGGATAAAGGCAGCACAAAAAAGAGAAAGGAGAAAATGCCCCAAGTGCTCCTAAAAGGAAGAGTTATAGAAATACTTTCACAAGACGAGGACTATTAGCGACAATTAGTAAAAATTACGTAAGAACTACATAATTACAAAGGAATCACCCAAAGTAATAAATCTATAGCCTCCAGCTTAGTAATCATCTACAAGTAGCTTCAACAATAAAAAAAAAAAGATGGAAAAAAACAATCAACTTGAATTCAACTACAGAAAGAACTTAGACATTGTTGAGAAACCATTCCAAAACAGACAACTGCAGAAAGGCTACATTAGCTGAAGACTTGAAGAAACACAGAAAGTTTTTTTTTTTTTTCTCAGTAAGGAAACAAAATCTTTCTCTCAGGTTCTAAAGACATTTAAGAAGGGCCATCCCAGTAGGATACATGAGGCCTTCCTACGACTATCCATAGACTCTTCCAAGTACAAATAACTCAGAACAAATGCGCACCAATGTTACTGGGAAACATCATCACACCATACACAGACTAAACAGGACTGCTACCACCCCACAGCTGGCAACCTGGGCCAACAGCTTCTACCCTGGGTACCATCGGACCACTTTACCCTGCATCCCGTGGGAGGGACAGCACTGTGGTTCTCCTTGCCTTGTCTGTTCCACTATAAATGATGGATTTGGGGAATGTGAGGCTCAAGTAAATAAGTAAGTCTGGAGAAGAAGAGATATGTACCCAATATTTCATCAACAGCTTGGCTCAGAAACCCATGAGGCATTTTATAAACTGTCCTGGAACTGGTTTTTAAAAGATACCTCGGGGGGCCAGGCACAGTGGCTCATGCCCGTAATCCCAGCACTTTGGGAGGCTGAGGCAGGCAGATCACAAAGTCAGGAGATCGAGACCACCCTGGCTAACACAGTGAAACCCCGTCTCTACTAAAAGTACAAAAAATTAGCCGGGCATGATGACAAGTGCCTGTAGTCCCAGCTACTCCGGAGGCTGAGGTTGCAGTGAGCCGCCGAGATCGCACCACTGCACTCCAGCCTAGGTGACAAGAGCGAGACTCATCTCAAAAAAAAAAAAGATACCTCTGGGATCATAAGCTCTGAATGCAAACTCTTTTAGGCAGATATGGTAAAACTCTTCCAAAACTCTTCCACACCTACTTCTGGAGTCTACTCCATACAGTTTTATCCACTTCACTCCAAACTACCCATGAAGCAGTTTTTCTCCTCCTGAAAATTTCATACTGCCACACCAATTTCAAATAACTCTGTCACACATTCTAATCACTCCACAGAGCCACTTCTAACACTCCACTGAAATATTTGGAATAGGAACTCCATTCTAAACTCAGCCCTGCTTGTTCCAGATATAGGAAAGCAATTCCATAAGGTCTATATTGGCACTTAGGGTCTTTGTGTCCCAAAGCAGAATAAAAATTTATCCTGTGGACACAAGGCAACATTATTAAGTGACTTCACCTGAGCATTTCACATTTCATTCCTGATGAGCATTAGTGGGAATGGAAACTGATGAGGTTTAGTGCTAACTTTTTACACAAAAACTTCCTGGGGACCCTCAAGAGATAATAGGAAAAAGCTGATATTTTCTCCCACAACAAACTTCAGCATTACAATTGCTATTACTTTAAGTATTCTACCACTTTGTGAAAACACACACACACACACGCCCCATTTAGTTGTGACCCCCTTCTCCCCCAAAACCAGAAAAGCCATTAACCCTCAAATTATCTTACCCTCTCTCTCTCTTCTTCCTGCCGTCTTATTCCTTCTCCTTTCCAGGGCTCCTGAACTTTCTGTAAACAAATTGTCTAGGTTACAGGGGCCAGGCAGGGTGCAGCCACCAGAGAACTGTGGAGAACCTCAGGAATTCTCTGTCAGCAGTCAGTCTGGAAGGCAGGCAGACCCCTCAACCAGCAATTCAAAGACTGGTGGATATAACAGGAGTCTAGTGCCACCCTCTACGTGGATACGAGGGAAATAAATCCAATTCCTAGAAACTAAGACGAACTCTACCACCAGCGTTTGGGTTTCACTCCTAGGCTCAGAGACTGGTCCTTGTTCGTTCCCAGGCCACAGGTAACCAGAGTTCAGGGAACAGAAGGGGTGCAAGAGGAGGAGGGTCTCTGCCTCTGAGGAGTGGCTTCAGAAGGCAAAGCTGAGGGCTGGGGGATGCACAAGCCCTTGTGTCAGGCACTGTGCCAGTTCAGGCCCAGCCACTTCCTCTAGTCTTACCCCCACTTCTTCGAGGACTTCGCCCCCTGCCTACCCAAGGCCTTGTGCCAAGAAGTACCTCCCTCAGTCTGCACAGTGGTCTATCTCTAGAGACCCCAGCTGTCCCCCCAAAACCTTCGCTCCCCTGAGACAGTTCCTGGGAGCTTTCTCCTGATGTCGCCCCCTACCCCCTTCTCAAAGACCCTTCCTTGGGACGTCCCTCATTCCCCTCCAGGGAGCTGAACTCTGCCACCCACCAGACAGGCACCCGCCCCCTAAACCCCCCCATTCCTCCCCATCGCCCGCTCCTCCACAACCACTTCCGGTTCCGGGACGGACACATACAGTCACATCGTGGACCCCCCCCCCCGTCCGCCAAGGAAAAGGGGAGGGGGGAGGAGCAGGGAGCTTGGCGCGCGCCGGCTGCAGCGGCGCGAGACTCACCCGGAGGCGACGGCTGCGGCGGCGCCAGAGCCTGAGCCAAAGCGCGGGAGGGGCGGCGTTTGCTGGGAAAGGAGGGAGCCGAGTGGGGTGGGAGGTCCAAAAGGGGGCGAGGGAGGGGGGAGAGCGCAAGGCGTACGGCGCGGGCACGCACTTCTGGCGCGAGACAGACTCACACACTCACACGCACGGAACGCGCGCGAGACACCCGCAGGGCGGGGGCGCAAGGCGGTGGGTGGCCCCCCTCCCTGCCTCCCTCCCCTTGCACTCACCCGGAAGTGGTGCTGCAGTTCTTGCTCCCGCGAACCCCAATTCCTCCACGCCCCCCTCCCTCCCTCCCCCCCAACAGGCTCAGAGAAGAGCTCTGCGGAAAGAAGGCGGGAGAGCCGGAAACGAAAAGGGGGGAGGGAGGGAAATAGCAATGTTGGGGGGGCGCTAATGGAGAAAGAGGGGCGTGCAAAAGTCGAGTCACTTCCGGGAGTGGCTGGAACACATCCGGCGCCGCTAGCGCTGTGGGATTTTTTCAGGGCAGAAGTTAGGATAACTCGGGGCGGAAGTAGCTTCTGCCCAGCGACGCGAGTAAAACCCGCGGTGGATGTGACGCCACAGCGGAAGTGAAGGCGGGTTCTGCTCAGGGTAAAAGCTGAACCGGAGGACTGCGGACCAGGGCTTCCGGAAGGGACTTCTGGGGAAGTGGGAGGGTGGAAACGCGACAGGTTCATGAATTATGCATCAAGGTAGGAGAGGAGGTGTAGGTTCTTCAGCTGCTGGGACCCCGTTTCTCTTCCCTCTGGGTGGAATAAGCTGATAGAGGAAGTGACCATTATTTTTTCTGATACCCCCAAGAATGTCTTAGTGCTTTGAATATGCGAGAATGGAGTAGGACGTGTCCATGTTTTTCTGAGGTTTCTACTTAGGCTCAGGGTTACAACCTCTCCCAGCCATTAAAATCTGCCTCTCTTGACAGATCCCTTACTCTTTTTACTTTAGTCTCTTCTTGCTGCCCATACTCACATCTCTATCGCCTTACCCTGTTTTACTTTCAAATATAGCACTCATTACTACCTGATACATTGTTTGCTGTTCACCTCCTCCCACTAAAATACTGGCTACAGGGCAGCGAAGACCGAATTGTTCATTGCTGAATCCTCATATTCTGGCACTTAAGTGGTTTGTAAATTCCTGTTGTATAAATGAACTTTGGTTCATTATGAACACCTAAATAAGAACCCTTTCAGGAAGCCTTCCTTGATTGCTCTGACCTGTAATGGTCCCTTTGCATTCTTACAGCATTTAATGCATACCTTTTATTGATATTTTATTTCCTACATGTTATTCCCCAGCAAGATTGTCAGCTTCTCAGGGAAGAAAATACTCACGCTGCTTTGCTGAGCACATAGTAAATGCTGAATAAATATATGTGGTTTGAATAAATGAATGCTATTAAAAGCGTGCACCGTGACCTGGCCAGAATCCCTCTGGGTCCAACTCTGAGCAAAACTGAGGTATCTCCTACTAACGGTGAGCACCTTGCTGAGAAAAACAACTTTTTTTTTTTTTTTGAGATGGAGTCTCACCCTGTCACCTAGGCTGGAGTGCACTGGGTGTGATCTTGGTTCACTGCAACCTCCATCTTCTGGGTTCAACCCATTCTCCTGTCTCAGCCTCCTGAGTAGCTGGGTTTACAGGCGCCCGCCACCACGCCTGGCTAATTTTTTGTCTTTAGTAGAGATGGGGTTTCATCATGTTGGCAAGTCTGGTTTTGAACTCCTGACCTCATGATCTGCCCGCCTCAGCCTCCCAAAGTGCTGGGATTATAGGCGTGAGCCAGTACACCAGATGAAAAATAACTTTAACAGAAATAATTACAATGCCTATTTTACAGATAATGAAAATAAGCCTCTGAAGGTTTAAGTGATTTTTTTCCCCACAAGGTCAAAGCCAGAAGGTAACAAAGTACACCTTTAAATATTTAAATAGATGATGCATCTCTTTGTACTTGTATCTTTTTTAAAGTGTCTGTTCCCTTTATCACATTTTTGGGCTCAGCACTCAGTCTCTGTTGACTGAGTAGCAACAGCTGGCAGAATTAGGATCTTGAGGGCTCAGATGTGACCAGACCTAGTGCTGTGTGGATTAGAGATTGCGGATTCAAGAAACCTTGACATCAGGGGCTGGTACTAAATGCTGGGAACAAGAAATTATAGTAATTACTGTACCTCCTGGTTCTCCTCCTGTTCTTTTCCTATTTACATTAACTGAGCACTTCCCGGGCCTCAGTATTTCTGCCAGCCCTGTTCCTGCCTTTGCTATAAAAAGCAAGTTTCCCATCTACCTGGGAGGCTGAGGCAGGAGCATTACTTGAACCTGAGAGTTGGAGGTTATGGTGAGTCGTGATGACGTCATTGCACTCCAGCCTGGGCAACAAGAGCAAAACTCTGTCTCAAAAAAAAAAGAAGAAGAAGAAGCAAGTTTCAAGTATTCTAAACTCCTTAGGGAAAAGCTTTAGAACAATAAATGTGGGGCGTAGGGGGAGGAGGGCTGTTAATTTTAGCCTGGGGTTCTCCAGCTGGCATACTGTTTCCATCTTGAATCACTTCCACACCCTGAGCTGTGCCTGGGAGATCCCTCCCTCCTCCTGGGGGCTTCCCCATTCCCTGGTTTGGTCTGAGCCACAATGGCAAGCATTCCAGAAAAATGCTAAGAGAAGCCTGGCTGAGTCATTTGATGCACAGCTCAGGAGGCGAAGAAAGGATGGTGATAAGAGATGCTGGTTCCAGTGGTGCCTGTGATGTGTGACCTCAAAGAACCTTCCAATTCCCAAAAGAGCAGCTTGGCCATTGTTTTGTTCTTGGTTAGTGACTCTGCTGCAGCCTTCTGAGGACCTCCCAAAGCCCCACAGTCTCTGTTTCAACTACAGGAGAGAGAAAAGAGCCTCATGCCTTTTCATGGCTAACATGACAGTGTGATATGGTTTGGGAGGATTCTTTTAATACAGCTCAGAGCTTGGGACGGTCTCCTTCCTTCTCTGTCTTTCTTGCCATCTGACTTTCCATGGGGAAAGGAGGACATTTAAGGAGAGGGAACAGGTGAGGATTTCCAGTGTCTTGCTGGTGTATTTTAATTTATTTAAATTTACAGAAACATCGGTCTAATCAGGCAGTAATTAATTCCCTCTTCATTAGGGGCCTTCATGTGTGCCTTCTGCATATGGATGAGCCATGGGTCACACTGTCCCTTTGGAGAGATCCTTGCTGAAGGTGAGAGCCCAGTGTGCTCTCTAGCACTTGAGCTCCTTCCCCTTCTGTGCCAATGCTTGTCTCTTCTCCCCACCCTCACCTGACAAGGACTAGATTCCTGCTGGGAAGGAAGGAAAGGTAAATGAAGCTTCCTCTCCCACCCTCCTTGGATCTGGATGCCTCCCTTCCAGCCCAGAGTGTATGCTGTCCACACCTCATCCTGTACCCTCAGGTTCCACCCAGCCCACTCCCTCCCATCAGCTGCCTGCTGGAATCTCTTCATGCCCCAGTGAGTTGACTCCTCAGAATCTTGTTTGCCTGGCACCTCTGCTTTCAGTTGGTTCATCAATCCTTGGCCCTGCTCTGCTTCTTTCCTCTGTAGCAGTCCTTTTCTTAGGGAGTCTGATGCCCTGAATGCACACACTGCTCTAGTCCTGAGAAATATGCTGCCTCCTCCTGGCACTCACCGTTATGTGCTGCACAGGCTCAGCCACACTTCCCTCAGCTCACAGTAAAGCTCCCAACACACCAACACACATACGTTCCTATCCTAGCTTGAAAGATAAATGTATAGGGGCATATAGTCTAGGGCAGCTTGGGCCCCCCTTTTTGCACACTACATCATCCCTATCCTCCCTGGGGCCACCCCATTTCCAGGGAGCAAGTGGGGCACAGATTGGGGGAGGGGGGAGAGATGGGACCTGGGTAGTTACCATGGCAATAGAGCCTAGCAACAGCTGAGAGGCTGATGTGTGGGTTTTCACAGGACTGTTTCAAGAGCCAAACCTAGAATTGGGGACTCAGAGGTGACTGATCCCAGCTGGGCAGTCTGCATTCCCTCCCCAAACACACCCCTTGATCCTGCCCCCACACTCCTGCAGTGCCTCTCTCAGAGAGGACAGAGCTAATGAGTTAGCCACAGGGCTTCTGATTCTGCTCAGCTTTTGGGGGACAGCTGTGGGTGGGGGCAGGTTAGGGAGCAAGGCTGAAAATAAACCAAGCAGGGCAGCTTGAGATGGCTCCCTCTCATCTTTTCTCCATCGCTCCATTTTTCTCTTCTGCTTTCCCCCTTCTCCCACCGAGTCTCTTATCAGCTCTCTCTTCCTTCTTGCTCCACTTCCTATCCTTCTATGTAATTTTCCTTTTCTACTGTCTCCGTTCTTAGGGTCTCTCTTGACCCTCCCTGGCAAGGAACAAGTAGGCCACAATTTCTATTCTAGTTTCTCTCTTGTACCACTGCTCCTCATCAGGACTGCTCCCTTCCATTTTGTCCCAAGTTAAAGCCCCAATTGGCCCCCAGCTCCAGGTCAGAGGAGGGCAGGTGACTTAGGTCTGGAGGGGGTCCCCACCTCATCCTATACCTCCTACTGGCTGCCCACCCCCTCTCCTCCTCTCTACGGGGGCCAGAAGGCAGAACCAGGGGACTTGAGTATCTTGCAAAGGCTTTATTTGAAAATTTTGAAACTTACATCCCACAGTAATTCAAGATGATCACCACAAGAAGAAAGAGATAATACAAAAATATATATCACAGCATAGGAGCCAGGGAAAAGGGGAAGAAGGAAGGTGGAAAAGCCAGTGAGAAGTAGGGAAGAACCTGAGGAGGGGAAAAGGGCAGGGAGGCAAAAGGAAGGCGTGGAAGGAAGGTAGGAAAGGAGGGGACAGGAGGGAGTCTGGGAAGGGAAGGGGTGGATTTGGAGGCAGAGCTCCTGATGGCCTTGAACCAGCTGACTCCGGTCTCTGGCAGCCTAGGTGGAGTTAGGGAGGCCTGAAGAGAGGCTGGGGAGGACTGGCTCAGGGGGCTCTGAAGTCCAGAGAATGGCACACACACAGACAGCCAGGAAAGACAAGACAAAAGGGACTATAGGAGAAAGGGAAGGGCAAATGGGAGTCCCTTTTTCATGTAGTGCAGCAGGTGACTCCCCAAAACCCATCTCTCAGAAAACAGATTTTAGCAGTGGGGTAAGGGTGAAGTCTGGGGCCTCACTACCCCCATTCCCATGGGGGAGCCCTCAGGGTGATGCTGGCGCCCTTGGAGACAGAAATACATGGTGTGGAATGGGACAGGACCATGACAGGTGAGGGCACGAGGAGCCCCCAGCTCACCTCCCACCCACCTCAGGTGCAGCATGCAGGGGCTGCAGAAACGAGGTGAGTGGGTGTTCATGAGGGAGAGAGTGAGCACACTACACAACACCACAACATCAGGCCGGGAAACGCACATGAGAGGTAAAGTGCAGGAAACACTGACTACTGAGTGACTGAGCTGAGCATGGAATGTGGGAAGGAGAGTGCACATGTGAGATG